CAGGCTTATTAAAAAGAAAAGAGGGGGGCGCCTGGGTGGCTCAGTCGTTAAGCGTCTGCCTTCGGCTCAGGTCATGATCCCAGGGTCCTGGGATCAAGCCCCGCGTCGGGCTCCCTGCTTGGCAGGAAGCCTGCTTCTCCCTCTCCCACTCCCCCTGCTTGTGTTCCCCTTCTCGCTGTGTCTCTCTCTCATCAAATAAATAAATAAAATATTAAAAAAAAAAGAAAAAGAAATTTTAGGTTTTTTCCTATTATCTGGATCTAATATTAGATAAAATAAGGTATTTAATATATGATTATTTATGAGTGTTTATTTAGACTGAAATTTATCCAGGTTTACTTATTTAGATGACTTTATGTGCTTGGCTTACATTTGTTGGCTACAGCTTTCTGTTATTTATTTGTTATTGTAATGTCATACTTGAAGTAGTGAGAGATGATTAAAGTCTTAAGTTGAAAGGGGTATTTTAAAAACTATATAAATTCCATCTACCATTTTCTTCAGATTTATATTCTCTTTACTAACAGAAACTGAAAACAAAAATACCCTTGGTTTTTGCTTTTATTCTATCATATCAAGTCTAATAAGGTATCCTACTTTATATGTTAAGATAAATACACAATCAATATACAAGTTCTGAGCTGTATGGTATCTGAGTTTGAGGTAGGGTTGATTCATAAGTTCTAGTGACAGCTCATACTGTATGCATGTGCTGACATGGAGATTATCCAGGTTTGGGAAGTTCAGGCTATTTCAGAGAAAATAAATTGATGGTAAGAAAAAGAGGGATCTGACCTCTCCAGATAAGGTATTTTTCACATAGAAGGTGCCAGATACATCAGTTTGAACTTTTTCCATTTTAGGAGGCTGCATAGTCTGCTCATCTGTAAACCTATAGGTGAAATTGTGTTTGTCTTCTACAGAATTTATGTTATGTTTAATGTTTTAAAAAATACTGTATTCTGAAACACAGTGTTAACATACTGCCTGAAACAGTTCTTTTGTGATATGGGGAAAGGTAGAGAAAAATCTATTAATATTTCTGTTGATTTTTTTCTTAGGCACTATTAAAATTTGTGTGTGCCATTTGAAACTTATAAGAAGAACCCCTCTTACTATGAATCAAGTAGGGCAGACTATCTCAGGGACGGTGAATTATGCAAAAGTTAAAGGAGCATGATTTAGCTTTTTAACATTTGGGCAATAAATGGGTATAAGCCATATCTAGACCTTAAAATCCGAAATGGGCTTCAAATCAAAACTTTGCTACTTTGAGTTACTGATTTACATAAATTCCAGCAGGTCTTATAAGAAGCAGGAAAGTGCCATTCAAAAAACTTACAACTCTTAAGATATGGAATGTTTCCCAGTCATATGAACTAGTGTAGTTTTGTTATTAACCTTCTTGTTTAAGGTTATTTTGTGTACATATTGCTTCTGTTTCAGTTTCCATGTGATAACATTAATGAATGAATGTTAAGAATAAAATAATTTTCTCTGCTCCTTGATAGGTGGCACCTTCGTCGGGGAGTGCTGAATTTCTACCACTTGGGCCCTCAGCAGTGTCTCTCCCTGAAGCCTCACACGACCAGTTTGTGGCTCAAGGTACCCTTTTAGGAAGACATTCTGCTTTCGAAAAGAAAAATGACAAGTCCGTCAGGATATTTTGAAATAAATGTCTACATAAGAACAAAATTAAATAAGTCACAAAACACAGTGAATGTCTAGATAAGAACAAAATGAAGTGGACTGGAACATGATAGAATAAATATATCAGAAATTAACAAAACAAATACCCTTAACTAATAAATGGAATGTAGTTGTCTGATTGCCATATGGTTTCTTATTAGTTAAGTGTAGATATTTAGTGTTTGAACTGGGGAATTAATAGATATTAGTTACCTTCATTTTTCTCCCTCTTTAGGGAAAACACTTCAATTTACCACAGTAGTCCACTTGAAAGTGGAGAGAATCTGGTCATAGGTATTTTTCAAGGGAAATACTTCTATTTTAAAGTCTACAAAATGTGTTGCATCTTTATTTTATTAGAAATGCTTGATGATTCATTGTTTGTGTATAACACCCAGTGAATCATGGAACACTACATCAAAAACTAATGATGTAATGTATGGTGATTAACAGAACATAATAAAATAAAAAAAATGCTTGATGAGTAGCCTGGGATTTATTTTTATTAATGGCAATATATAAATTCTATTCTTTGTATTAGGGACTGCTTCCAACGCTATTATGCTTCAACCTTTATATGTTTGGAAGATTACAACTTAGCTTTTGTTTGTCCTAGAGAATGTATAGGCCTTTATTCAGTAGCATTAAATTCATCACTTGTAAGCAATATGCTACCTAAAAAAGAAGAATTTTAAACACTGAAGTATAAGCATCAGCAGGGAAAAGGTTTTCTAAAACTTCAGAAATAATTGCTTAATGAAGACTTTACTCTGAATTTTTATTACAGTGTTTGTTCCCTAACTTCTTTTTTTTTTTTTTTTAAAGATTTTATTTATTTATTCATGAGAGACAGAGAGAGAGAGAGAGAAGCAGAGGGAGAAGCAGGCTCCCAAGGAGCAGAGAGCCCAATGCGGGACTGGATCCCAGGACCCTGGGATCATGACCTGAGCCGAAGGCAGACGCTTAACCGTCTGAGCCACCCGGGCGCCCTGTTCCCTAACTTCTTAAACAATGTCCCATTTTGTTTTTTTTTAGTGATATATGTTAACAATATAAAAAAGTGTTTAATTGTAGAAAGTACTTATTTGATCCTCTAGAGAATAAAAGGAGCAAACTCACATTGTTTAAATAGTTGAGGACACAGAGGATGAAATGAAATTTGATAATGAATTTCATGAACATTTATCTCTAAAAGTATGTTGCATTACTCTTTTTAAATAACTTCATTGAGAATAATTTACATACCATACAGTCATCCATTTAATAAGTGAATTCATTGGTTTTGAGTCTATTCACAGAGCTGTGCAAGGATCACCACAATTAATTTTAGAACATTTTCATTTTCATCACCCCAAAAAGAAACCTCGCCATTAGCAATCCCTCCTCATCTCTTTTGATCCTTCCCAGTCCTAGGCCAGAGTTAATCTACTTTCCTTCTTTATAGATTTGCCTGTTATGGAAACTTCATAAAAAAGCAATCATATAGTATGTGTTTTTTTGTGACTGTTTTTTTTTTTCCACTTAGCATAATGTTTTCACGGTTGATCCATGTTGTATTATGTGTCAGTACTTAATTTCTTTTTATTGCTAAAAATATTCCACTGATGGATAGACCACATTTTATTTACCCATTCATCATTTGATGGACATTCGGATTTTTCCACGTTTTGGCTATCATGAATAATACCTCTACGGACATTCATGTACAGGTTTTTGTGTGGACATACAGTTATGTGGGCTTTTTTGTTTTGTTTTGTTTTTTGTTGCATTATTCTTGATTTGGATTTATTTTATTTTCAAGGATTGTGCTTAGAATGTGTATTCATGCACAGTTTTACTGGTTACCAATCACTTAAGCATGTATATTTGACAAAAAAGCTTCTTAGTCCTTTTTGTTGAATCTGCCACTGAACAGTGCTGCAAAGCATTGAATATATATTGTGTGTGAGCCAAATACTAGAGCAGTTATTTTGTTGTTCAGTATCTTCTTGAATCTCATCCCTTTAAAATAGTATTAAAATAAAATGTGATTTTTTTTTTTTTTTTTTTGGTGATAACGAGATTTTAGTTCCCTCAGCTAGAACATCTAGCAGGATTTGCCAGTGAAGCTAGTTAGTCCTTTTATTTGTTGTTTTGCTAATTCTTAATTAACCAGGGAATTAATATGCTCCAAAGTGATTTAGGACAGAGTGAAAAAATTTTTCTCTAACATGTACATTAGGGCCACTTTAGACATCCAACTTTACATTTTTAAATTTAGTTTCTAACTTTTGTAAAAGAAAAATTATTTTATTAAAAAAAAAAACCTAACAGGATCTCTTTTGATCTGTAAGCTTACATTTGATATACAAAGGTGAAAGGAATCATTAAAAAATAAAAACGTTAGTGTATTTGAGTACTACTAACATAAATAACTAGGATAATTTTCTCTAGATAAAATATAAAAGTTTATTTAAATATATTAGATGAGTTTGAATTTCTTAACCTCTGTGCCCTCCCCTTTTATTGATCTTCTTCTCTATACTTGGCCTAAAAATGCTGAAAACGTGGAATACATATCTTCTGAATATTTAAATTTTTCCCTTAAAATCAATTGAACTGTTTCTGTGGAATTACCTAAATTTACTTTTCCAAACTTTATTTAGTTTAAAATGTCAGATCTTTCTTGATGTTACATAGTCCCGAAGTTATATAGTACTAATTCTTCCCCCGAAGGCATTAGTTTATTACAAAGGAAAAATTAAACTTCACAGTGGAGAAACCGGGTAGATACCCCTTTGACCAAATGGCTGAAGTTAACACTACCAATACTGGTACAAATAGGAATCATGCTTTTCCCGCTGGGATGCACTGAAGCTCTACTCATGAGGAAACACCAAACATCAGACGTTCTACAAAGTAACTGGCCTGTGCTCTTTGCAAAATGTCAAGGCCCTGAAAGACAAAGCAAGTCTGAGGAAATCTTCCAGTTTAGAACCCAAAGAGACATGACAGCTAAATGCAAGGTGTGATCCTGAATCGGATCCAAACAAGAACTCTGGAGCTACAAAGGACATTAGTGCGACAATATGCCAAATTTGGAAAAGGTCTATAGATTAGAGGCTACCACTGTGTCACTATTAATTTTCTGTTTGCTAATTGTACTGTGATTATAAAAGACAAAGTTTGTTTAGGAAATTAATTTAGGGCCGAAGGGGCATTTGCAACTTACAAGCAGTTCATAAGAAGATAGGTATATAGGTAGATAAAATGTGGTAAAACATTAATATATAGGGATCTGGGCCAAGGTATGTGGGAATTCTTTGTACTCT